TAAAGCATAAAGGGGGGGGGGTTGTATTGCGTTTTGGTCTCATTTTTCAAAAAAAAATAGAAATATGGCAGACAAGCTATACAAAATCTAGAATATATAATATGCCTCTTTTGCCTGTATAAAGGTACATAGCTCTGGGCAAAGTCGGTTCTCAGGAAAAGTTTTTTCCCTGTCTGGAAGGAAAAATAGCTTCATTTACTGGTATGCCAGAGAGAAAGAACGGTTGTCGGATCGCGTGTTTGCGGGGTGTCGTGGGTCCTCGGAATGATGACGGATAGACTTGGATACTGGAGCCATGACAGAGCTTTCTGTTCTGTATGTTCCCTGTGTTCTGTTTTTTTCTTTCTTTTTCTTTTTTTCATCCCGAAATATAGCGTGGATGGGGGCCATGAAGGAATTCTCCTATATATACTGCTGCTGCTTCAAAGCTCCCGTCGTCGTCGTCTTCTTCTTCTTCCTCCTTTTTTTTATGGTTATTTTTATTAGCATTATTTTTATTCATTTTGTTTCTTTGGTGTGCCGACGTCTGATATGTGGGGGAATATACTGTTGTATATGGTGGGAAAGTATATGCCTTGACCTGCTGCTGTGTATCTGGCTTTTTGTAGGTTATTTATTAATCTTGGACAAGATGGGGTTCCAGTTGTGATGGGGAACGTTGAAGAAAAAAAAAAGGATTTTTGGTTTTGTTTTGTGGATTAGTGGTCAATTTTAATTTTTACTTCGCAAATTATCGCCGTTTGAACCTGTTTAGGGTATTTAACTTGTCTATTGAATTTTTTTTTTTACCCATATGATGAAAACTTCGACGCATAGAAACTTTTCTGAATAAAATAATACTGGAGAATTTTTTTTCATGATGTTGGATCCAACATTGGTTACCTTGTTTATGAGTGTGTGTTTTCTTTCAACAGTCGAGTGTATATTAAAGTTCCAGTGCGTGATTATGCATTTTTTTAAACACTTGAGGACATTTTTTCAAATTCTTCGTCAATTTTAATTTTCGTACTTTGCAAATTATCGTACAGTATTTTGAACCAGTTTAGGATATTGAAACATTTTCCTGATTTTTTTGGTGCTCATGGGTTCGAACTTCAAGTAAATCGGATGAAAAATGGGACGTATGGAATATTTTTTGCGTAGCGTAATATTGTTTGTTTATTTCTTTTGCTGATGTTGGATCAAACATTGGTTTCCTGGTTTATGAAAGTATTTTTTTGAAACAGTCAAGCGTATATTACATTTCCAAAAGCATGATTATCATTTTCATTAGCAATCAAGGGAAATTCCTTAGGATGTGGAACTGATTTTCCAGTCGATTTACAATCAAACCTGTTTTGTCAAATTCAGATGGGACCCCTGAAATTTTGAATGAGGCAGTTTTTGAGCTTGGAAAATTTGCACTTTTTGCTGAAGAAAAGTGAAGAATTACAAGAAAGGTGAAATGGATGATCTTTTGACCTTTTAACAGCTGTGGAAATTGAACGACAGGATGGGTAACTTGAAGGGATTAGAATTTTCTCCAATTAGTCACTAACATACTGAATGTAAAATAGTATTTTATAGCTTTTCTTTTTTTTGTATTCCTCCAGATTTTCATCCTGAAGATCTCCAGAAATTCAAGTTTCAGAGTTACACATTATGTGAAAATTTTCTTGAAGGAACTCAGACTGGGACAAAATAAACACAGGTGGACCATCTACAATGATTTTCTCTATATAGGGAATTTATCTTTTTCTCCAGAAATTCAAGTTTCAGAGTTACACATTATGTGAAAATTTTCTTGAAGGAACTCAGACTGGGACAAAATAAACACAGGTGGATCTACAATGATTTTCTCTATATAGGGAATTTATCTTCGGATAGAAAGTTTTCTCTTCCCATGTTATAAGGGTTCTCAAAAAAATTTTCAATGCGAGACTCATTTATTTCATGGTAGAAAGAGTCCATTGCTGTATTTGGAAGAGGTTTGCACCAGCAAGGTTCAAATGCAATATACAGTGAGACCCCCACATGTGGACACCTTGACCTGCAGACAATTTGACATATGGAAACTTATTTTCCCAGAAAAAATTAATAAAGAAGGCCCAACATGAGGACACTGACTCAACATAGGGATATTTTGTGATGAAATTGAAAAAATATTTCAGGCTGAATTACAAGAAACAGAAATTCACAACCCCAAAATTGATGTAAGAAAAGTTGTTGGGCATTTCTCTCACCAATTTACCATCCATTTAGCTAATTTTAAAAATTACCTCCAGCATAGAGGGACTTACTTTTTTCACTTAAGATTTTATTTTTGTAGATGCTGATATTTTGATGTACAGTACATAGATACATTATTCAATGCTCCAAATTTTCTTATTGAGTTGAAAATGTATTCACTAATTCAAATTCAAGTGGCAAAAAAATTTTTTCAGGGAATTCTGAAGAATATTTTTTCCATAAAACACCAATTAAAAATTATATAATGTAAGTCTATATGGGAAAATAAGACTCAACTTAGGGACACTCTTGATGCACCAATTATGTCTGCATCTAGGGGTCTCACTGTATATATCTAGACCCCCAAAAAGAATCAAGAAATAATTGAGTAATGTGAGGTATGGATTTTCCTTGCCATTTTTCAAAATTTAGAGCTGCATCAAAGTTGAATCACATTCGTTGACATTTAAAAAAATGTTTAAACTAAAATACGTGAAATCATAAAGACAGACTCGAAAGAAAATTTGATTTCAATTCGACTGAATCTCGTTTCTACATTAAATATGGGGATACTGTATTCCACAGATGTTTCCTTTATGAATCATTGAATAATATGTCACAGGTAATCGAATAACAAGTGATTGACAGCAATATGAAATGCAATCACATTTCTTCAAGAGGTAGATAAATCATGTCTCGTTTCAAATGATAAGCCATTCAATCTACCCATGTTTATTTTTATTTGTGTGTAATGATGTTTTGGAGCTCTGGTCCTCGGGGGGTTTTTTTTTTCATCGAATACCTTTTAAAGGAACAAACGTGGTTTTAAAGCTTGTCTTAAAGGAACGTAAGGTGACTTTTATAAAAACCAAAAAAACACGGCAGAACGGAGACGATTATTGCTTTTTACCGCTTGCTGAGGGTATATGAGATTAATTGGGGAGACTGTATTTTTGTGACGGGAAAATACTCCCTAAAATGAGCGTTGGTCGAGAAAAGATAGTAAAAATCAAAACAGTTTGGAAGTTATATGAAGTCAAAAAATTTGAATCGTGTGGGCCAGCAGAATGAGTGGTGCTGCGACATTTAAACCGGACTCGGCAGCCGGCACGTCAGAGGCTATTTAACCGACGTCGATTTGTCAACTGCCCTATGCGAACGGCCGGCGATGAGAGGAAAGGGAAGAAATTATTCTGGCGGTGGTTCTGCCGCCATTTTCGGCGGAAATTTCCGCCAGGGGAAGCATAATGACAATCACTGCCGCCACGAACCGCCACCGCTGCTCCTGCGCCATTCAAACGCGCTTCACTAGGAGACTGCTTGCGACTTTTATTCCAGCGACTTCTGAGACCTAGAATTCGTAATTTCGTATTATAATACGATATTT